TGGCTCGGCTGGTGGGTCCTGGTAGCTCAGCTGGTGGCCCTCGTCGTTCAGTCGGTAGTTCTTGTAGTCCTGCTCGTGGCTTTCGTGGCTCAGCTTGCGGTCCTCGTTGCTCAGCTTGTGGCTCTCGTGGCTCGACAGGTGGCTCTCGTAGCACCGCAGGTTGGACCTTTGGTACTTCTGGTGGCTCCCGTAGCTGTGCCTGTGGTCCTCGTAGCTCGGCTTGTGGCCCTCGCAGCACACCTTGCAGTTCTCGTCGTTCTGCCAGTGGCTCTCGTAGCTCGGCAGGTGGGTCGTGAGGCTCTCCTAGTGACTGTCGTAGCTGTGCGCGTGGTCCTCCTTCATCCTCTTCCTCCTCCTCCTCCTCCTCCTCCTCCTCGTCCTCCTCCTCCTCCTCGTCCTCCTGCTCGTCCTACTCGTCCTCCTCCTCCTCCTCCTCCTCCTCCTCCTCCTCCTCCTCCTCCTCCTCCTCCTCCTCCTCCTCCTCCTACTCCCCCCTCTCTCACCCTCTTGCTGCCCCCACCCCCCTCCCAGGCCTGCCGTTCCTGGACTGCAGCGGGGCCGCCGGGGCGTTCAGCAGCAAGATGATCGTGCTGTCCGCCGGCACGGCCGGCACTGCTGGCACGGCAGGCGCCTCCGCCCAGCACTCGTCGTCTTCGTCGCCCGTCACTGAAATCCTGGCGTCTCCACTTTTTTCGAGCCGGGCGTTTTGGTTCTTTCGGGCCCTGGGACCCTCAGAGATCGATGCGGCTCGAAAACTGACGCAGGAAAATGGGGTAGGGCTCCGGGCGTGATTTCTTACGCTGTTCCAATTTTTCGCGCCGTCGGATCTCAAGGGTTCTCTTTGCGGCCGTCGTCGCCGCCGATGTGATGTGTTCCATCCGGGCATTTCTTATTCGATTTCGGTTCCAATGTCGGGCGTTGGCAGAACTGGGTTTAGTGAGACCTGGTTTAGGGGACCCCCCCCCGCCCGTTCCACTAACCAGAACTGCCGTCACCCGAAAAAACACCAGCTACGGCAGACCTGGTTTAGTGATTCTGGCCAATTCAGGGGCTCCAGGGCCCTACTACTAACTGGGTCCCCCTTCCTGGGGTCCTGGCTATACCCGACAATGGGCCATTTCCACGCCCGCGGAACGGACGCACAGCAGCGCCACGCGAGCGCAGGGCCGAATCGGCTCGCAGGACAACCGGAATCGGATCGGATCGGGCCGGCCTGGACGGGTATCGAATCGCACCGATCGTATCGAGGCGGAGGGGGGCGCCGAGGCAGGGAACGGGCAGAGATCCGCCTCCTCCTCCTCCTCCTACTCCACTTCCTCCTCCTCTTCCTTCTCCTCCTCCTCCTCCTCCTCCTCCTCCTCCTCCTCCTCCTCCTCCTCCTCCTCCCTCTCCATCTCCACCTCCTCCTCCTCATCCTCCTCCTCCTCCTCCTCCTCCACCTCCTCCTCCTCCTCTTCGGGGCCTCGTGGCCCGTCTTGGAGCGATCTGAAGGGCCTCCGAGCGAGGCCGTGAGGGAGCGCTGGGAAGCGGGAAACGCGAGAAGGCCTAAATCCTTCAAAAACCATATGAAAATTAGTGAATATTGCCTCCCAGGGCCCTCTTGGGGAGCCTCTTGAATCCGTCCTGGAGCGTGTTGGAGTCCTCGTCGGCCGTCTTGAGGGCAGCATGGGCGTCTTCGGGGCCTCTTGGGACCGTCTAGGGCCCTCTCGGGACCTCCATTAGCCTGTCGTGGCATGCTTCGGGGCGGGCCCAGGCCGCCTCGGGACCACTCTGGGCCCTCTCTTGGCGCGCTCTTGGGGCACACTTGGGTTGTCTGAGGAGCAATCCTGGGCCGTCTTGGGGCCCTCGTCGGGGCCTCGTGGGCCTTCTTGGAGCAGTCTGAAGGGCCTCCGAGGCCGTGAGGGAGCGCTGGAAAGCGGGAAAAGCGAGAACGCCTAAATCCTTCAACAAAAACTCGGAAAACGAGTGAATCTTGCCTTCCAGGGCCCTCTTGGGGAGCCTCTTGAGTCCGTCCTGGAGCGTGTTGGAGTCCTCGTCGGCTGTCTTCAGGCCATCTTGGGCGTCTTCGGGGCCTCGTGGGTCCGTCTTGGGTCCTCTCGGGACCTCCTTAGCCTGTCGTGGCCTGCTTCGGGGCGGGCTCGGGACGCCTCGGGAGCTCTGGACCCCCCCGCAACCCCTGGTGGGCACCGATGGGGGGAACAGGCAGCGGCCCGCCCCCCCCCCCCTCGGGGCTTACTCCGAGATAGAGAATCATGTTCCCGGGAAGCTTTCTGGGAGCATGATTTGTTCAGCTCTCCAAGAGGGGGGCCTCTGGGGGCTTACCGAAGGGCGCCTTTTGGCCTTGTCGGCAAGCCTATTGGAAACATGGTTGGGGCGGTGGGCGGAAGCCCAAGGAATCATGTTCCCGGAAAGCTATCTGGGAAATACGATTTACCGAAGTGTCTTGGGGGCCCTCAGGGGGCTTCCCTGGGGGTCCCTTCGGACCTATCGGGGCTTCCCGGGGGGGGGGAGCGTTTTGAACGCATCGTTCGACGGCTCTGGGGCCCTCTCTGGCCTCCTTGCGCCCTCTTGGGGCCCTTTCCGCCTGTTCAGGAGCCGGCCAAGACCGTCACAAGGGGGTCTTGGAAGCAGTCCGGGGCCCCAGTCCCTCCATGGAGAGTCGGGGCAGCCATTTTCGGGCCCCAGGCCTGCCCCCCAGGAAACATATATATATATATATATATATATATATATATATATATATATGTGTATACACACACGCAGAAACATGCATACATACATGCATACATACATACATACATACATACATACATACATACATGCATGCATGCATGCATGCATGCATGCATGTACACACATACATACATATATACATACATATATACAATCATGCATGCATGCATGCATGCATGCATGCATGCATGCATGCATACATACATACATACATACACACATACATACACACACATACATACATACATACATACATACATACATACATACATACATACATACACCTATAAACATACATACACATATGCATACATATATACATGCATATGCACATATTCAAACACTGGTAATATACTACTAATTATACATCTACATACACCCAAGCACATACACATACCTTCACATGTAAAACTGCATGTGCCTATTATAAGTAGATGCATATACATGTACACAAACACAAATACATATATATACATGTACACATACACATACGTGTATGTGTACATAGGCCTGAAAAAGCATAGACATACGCATACACATATACACATACATACACATACACATACTCATGCCCATACACATAGACATACATCTGTACATGTACGTATATGTACACATACATATGCCTATACTACACGAATACGATGTCACATACACGTACACATGCACATACAGCTACACATACAAACACAAGTACACATGACCATGCAACTTTACATACAACCGCGCATACACCTGCAACGTTATACGCATGCACATTTACGAATACACGTACACATACACATACAAAGCCGTACACGCCCATACCTATGCATGCACACGTAAGCATATGCATCTGCATATACATCTACATCTACATCTATAGACCCACCTACGTCTACACCTACACATACACATACACATACACATACATAGACTTACGCATGTGCATATACATGCACATATGCAATTACATTTATACATACATATCTACACACAGACATATACATGTACAGGTGCATACACATTTCCATACATGCAAACAAACATACATACGTACGTACATACATACATATATATACATATACATACATATATATGGTATACAACTGGCACGTGTGTACCCAGGCTCATACAAAAAAACTGGAAGGGCGCTTGAAGCAGGAAGACACCATGACTGCAGGATCGGAGATGGAGAAGGGGAAGCTGGGGCGGCGCCGCCAGGGCGTGCCTAAGAGAAGGGGAAGAGGCAGGAGGTGAACGCAGAAGAATCTAAGATCGAGGTCGCACTCGAGCGCAAGTGGGGTTGCCACACCTTGCGATGAATGTACCAGGGCACCCCAGGAAACCTCAGGAGGCCCGACTTGGATACCGGAAGAGGCTCCAGGAGGCCCCGGGATTGTGAGTGTTGTGTGTGTGTGTGATGTGTGTGCGTGTTTTCTGTGCGTTGTAGGTGTTGTGTGTGTGTGTTATGTTTGTCTAGCGTGTGATGTGTTGGGTGTGATTTGTATCTCTGTGTGTGCATGTAGTTCTGAGGCCCCAGGAGGCCCCAGGAGGCCCCAGGCGGTCTCAGGAGGCCCCAGAAGACCCCAGGAGGCTCCAGGAGGCCCCAAGAGGCTCCAGGAGGCCGCAGGAGGCCCCAGGAGGTTCGAGGAGACCCCCAGGAGGCTCCGAGGCGGGGCCTCTGGGGCACCAGAAGGCACAAAAAGCCCCAGGAGGCCCCAGGAGGTTCCAGGAGGCCCCCAGGAGGCTCCGAGGCGGGGCCTGGGGCACCAGAAGGTACATCGGGGCTCGATTTGGGGAGGATGTCTCAGGCGAAATCGCCATTCTCTGAGAATCGGGGTCAAAATCATTGAAATTACAATGTGTTTTTGAAGGTTTTCTGTTAGAATGTTGAAATTCCCATGTGTTTTTGGACCCTGACGTCACGATCTGCGTGAGGGGTGCCACCGATTTTCAGAATTTCGAGGATGTCCCTAGCGAAACGGCCAGAACAATCGCGGACGCCGCCTTCAAATAATCGGCTCTGAGCTCTACTCCCTCGGAGAGGTGCGTATGAGAATCTACATATGTATATCATGTGTTGGAAGGTCAGGGAAGTCATTCCCCCCGGAACCCAAACACAAGCACGTGTTTTATTATTCTCTCGGGGGGGGGAGGAGATTAGGGTGTTTTTGTCCGTATGACCCCGCTTTTTTATTGTTGAAGGTGCTCGGAGGCGTTAGGGAGGTCTCGCCCCCAGAACCCACTTTAATTATCCTGGCGAAGGACCCAACCATATGCAGTTGTGAGTACCTTCGTTGCCCGCATCTCCTCCTGGGGCCATGAAGCGCTGTACTGGGTGGGGGATACGCATTCGAATGCCGCCACTGGGGCCTTCGATGGAGCTCCCTATGGGGCCACGAAACGCTGCGCATGCGGATGCCCTCATTCGCACCCTGCCGCCAGAGCCTACGTGTGAGGGGTGGGCCGGGTCGGGTGCGGGTACGCAATGCGGACCCTGCCGCTGGGCTTTCGGTGGAGCTCCATATTGGGCCACGAAGCGTGTCAGGGGTGTCCGACATGGGATGCGGGTACGCCATGCGGACCTTGCCGCTGGGGCCTCTGGTAGAGCTCCATATGTGTCTACGAAACGTGTGAGGGGTGTGCCGAATCGGATACGGGTACGCCATGCTGACCTTGCCGCTGGGGCCCTCGGTGGAGCTCCCCGTGGGGCCACGAAGCGTGTGAGAGGTGTGCCGCATCGGGCGCGGGTACGCCATGCGGGCCCTGCCGCTGGGGCCTGCGGTGGAGCCCCCTATGGGGGGGTGCGGGCATGCAACGCGGAGCCTGCCGCGGGGGCTTTCGGTGAGTCTACGAAACATGTGAAGGGTGCGCCGAGTTGGGTGCGTGTACGCCATGCT